ATTATAAAGCGCCCTTATGTTATGTTGAAGTATTTTTTTTTCGAACACTTTTTATTAAGTAAATTCGTAACTCAACAAGAACATTTATGAATAAATAAATTTAAATATAGAAAATAATTGAAATGGCTGAATTTGAAAGTGTTCATTATTAGAAGAATGAAATAATAAATTTGAAGATCAACATTAAATATCACTTAAAAAGAAAAGAAAAATTAAGGTAAAAGCTGATTAATTTAGCACACACAGAAATACACACTCGATTAGTCAGTTTTTGATGTAAAAAATACCCTTCCCTGCATATTTATAGGTGACAATAAATGAAGCAAAGGCATTAAAAAGTGAAGTGGTAGTCAATGAAAAGTTGGTGTAATAGTAAATGAGAAGTCGGACTAATAGTCAATGAGAAGTTGAAGTAATAATAGGTGAAAATTAGAGTGACAGTATCAAAAATTCCTTTTATCGGTCTATCAAAATTTAACATTGATGCCTTCATTTCATTACACCATTGAGTTAATTTAAATTAGTGATTCAAAAAAAAAAAAAAAGAAAAAAATGAAAATCGCTAAATTAAGGTTACTGTATTTTTGTAGTAATAAATGTTCAAGATAATCTGGTCTGGAGCGATCATTAACTTGTCACTAGCATAAAATGATCACCAAATTATCACCAGCATAGAATTACAGATAACTTATCACTAGATAATCTATCATCTATTAGATTAATCGATATCTAAAATGGAATTAACGAGATCAATATAATGTACAATAGATTTTTTAATTGTCGAAATTATTGTAAGCATATATAATGATAAAAATCATAAATGCGAAACTATATAAATTTCAAATTATTGAGACAAGAAAGTATACTTATATTTACTAATTACTCGATTTTTTACGGAATCTATTTGTTTTTGAAACTGAAAAAAGGCATAATAAGTAAATAAAGATAAAATTTGTTTTAATTCTTAATAGCATACAAATAGATCTAACAAGCATCACCGATTAATTAATGAAAACTAATTAAATTGTAATCAATTTTCAGTGTGTCAGTGTAGTAATTCTCGATTATTTACGCCATGGGAAAAGTTGTCCTTTGCCTGTTGATGATTATAAGTTAAGTTTATCATTTATGAAGCTCAATTTTACAAACTTCCTGAATTGATTGAAGCAGTTGAGAGTGTCCGATGTTGCATGAAACGTAATTTTATTCCATCAAAATCGTTGGTTTCATTCAGCAATTCGTGAGGCAAACAGTATTCCATGAAAAAGTTTAAAAAATGCTTCGTTAGCAAAAGAAATGACAACAAAATCACTTTTATCTATTCGTAAGTTTTTTTATTAAATTAATTTAATTTTTAAATTTCAGAATCTTATATTTGTCTGACATTTTAATTTAATTTTCAATTGTATATTTCTTGACTTCTAAATTTCAATTCTTACATGTTAGAAAGAAAGTTTAAATGATTTCATTCTATTGAATGTGTAATTTGTCATATGGATTGAATGCTTAATTACCATTGTTATTAATGAACAGAAAAAATTAGTGAGTGATAATTATTTATTACAAATTACTGTTTAATTACTAATTGTCAGTTAATTGATAATTACTGATTAATTAATGTTTATCAGTTACTAACTATACTATATAATTGTGATTATGAATTTGACGAAAGAAATATTACAACGCAATAATATGAAAATTATCTTTTTTTTAATTTTAATGCAGCAATGGCACCACCACTTCCACAAAAATTCGCTGATAATGAAACATTGTTGAAACAATGTGTGAGCAAGCTATCAAAAAAGCATAATAAAGATAAAATTGAAATTGGTCCACCAAATGAATTCAAGTATTTTAAATTTTGATAAGAAGAAAAAATTAAATAAAGAAATAAGAAAAAGCAAATCGCCGAAATTTATACTTTTAATTGAAAATGTGATTATCATTTTTTGAAAGAAATATTAATGTAAGTTTAATTGAAAACATTACACATAGTTAATGTCGTGAAAGGTTTGTCTTCAGATACTCGAATATCTGAATAACAGCAGTAAGATTAATAAACCTTTATTTTTACGAAAACGTATTATTAATAATCTGAACAATAAAAAGAGAATTTATAAAAAAAAAAAACCGAGGAAATTGAGAATGGTTCTGAGGGTAACAGTTGACAATAATGACAATAATGAATGTTTTGTTTATTAGAATTGAATTTATATGAATGAGAATTGGGTGTGTCTGAAATAAAAATTACATGTGTGAAGAATAGGGTAAATGTTCATGCAGAATTGAAAATTTACAATATGAGATTACATGTGTAATAAATCTTACGGAACTAGATTTAAGGAGAGATAATTTATAATACTGTAAGATTGTTTTATACATGCCTGAAGAATCGGAAATGTCTACAAAAATTAAGAATTTACAATGTGAGAATTGAACGTATCTAAGATGAAAATGACACGTGTGAAGAATCTTAAGAAAATAGATTTAAGGAGAGATAAAATTCATGATACCATAGGATTGTTTACAATTCAAAAATGATTAATTAGTTTTATTAGTCTTTAGTTATATTAATCTTATTATTTTGGTTAGAGTTTATGATTCGCGACAGTTAATGCAAAATATATTTAATAATTTTGATGAAATAATATTCTGAGGTATTTTAAATTAAATCTTTTAAATATTACTTACTGTTTTTGACAATTTTGATAAGATTTAAAGATGGCTGAGCAGGCTAATATCCTAGTATTTGCAAGTTATAAAATAATTTAGCAATATTCAATTTTGAATTGTTAGATTATAGCTTAGTGTGCATATATATATATTGCTAAAATAATTTCAAAGAAAAGTTTAAAAGTCCCATAAATTTTACAAAATACATATTAAAAAAATAATAAACGAAATTCATTGTTTTACAGAACATTCAATGTTGCATAATTATTGTTTCTGCGTTGTAATAATTTGAAAAATGAATAATGAAATGAATTATTGAAAATTATTTTAAATCTGAAGGCATATCGTACATATTGAACAAACGGACGATGGTCAGAAAATTGTCATTGATCATAGTAGCAATGATCAAAAGACGATAAAAACTATTTGTGATGAAATTTCAGCATTACGGGTATTTGAATTTTGAATTTAAAAAAAATTTAAATTCAAGCTAATATCTAATAGTATATTAAGTTTCATTTTGATGGACGTATCAAAGTTTTGTGCAAGTATTTAAGCAAATCACACTGGTTGTTATGTAAATACGATTTAGAGTGAATATTAAATCCAAGTATATAAACACTAGATTTTGAATTCGAAATTTAATTGCATTACAATCTTATAATAATTAAGCAAATAATTGAATTGTTAATAATCAACGAATTCTATCAATGGAATAAATTGCACAAAGTTTTTTTATAATTTCAATCTAACATTGATTCAAATTCTTCAATTTTAATATTTTACTATCAAACTTTCACATTCCTTTCAGTAACGTTTTGTGCTAAATACAAGTAACTTTTGCTATTTTGATACTGTTTTATCATATCACTATAATATCAAATCTGCTTACATATCGGTTAATTAACTATCATCTATCATTTCAGATAGTTTACAGTTTGATAGATGCAGACGAAAATGCAAATTATAGTGAATCGGTTGAAATCTTTTTTACTGAATCAACCATTCGAGCATATCACAGTGATATGCCCTTATCATCTCAGATGTTATCAACCAGTCTGCGAATCGGTTTCTATAATAACTGTTATTATGAAACAGCACGAAGTGATAAGACGAAAAGGTTTCGCATCAAAGGAATTAAAATTAGTCTAATTGCCACTGATATACAATCAGTAATTAATTAGTATAAATGTTGAACTTTGTATTGTGACGTAAATTTGACGTTTTTGTTATTGAATTGCTAAAACAACAAGCTATTGCTCTGTTAATTTGCTAATACAAACAGATTCTGATATCAATTTACACATTAATTTAGTAGTTTTAAATTTTATTTTCTTTATATTAGTCATTTTCTTCGTTTCGATCATTCCTTTAATTTAATCACTTAATTTTTTTTGTTATTGAATTGCTAAAACAACAAGCTACTGCTCTGTTAATTTTGATTACTTAAATGAATTCCTTAGAAAATGGAAATTGAAGAAGTATCATTTATGCAAACTTTGATAAATATTATTCTTAATGTATTTACTGTTAATACATTATATATCAATATAACAATTTCTTATTTACATTTTTAGCAATAAAAACACGATATGCTGTTAGCCGGAAACGGTTTGAACAAATTTCTCATGCGGTTAAGCCGATTAAATATTGCGTGTAAAACAACAGAGCAAATTGAGAAAAAAGTTTTATCGCGAAATTTTCTCGAAAGTAATGTTTTAAAATTGACAATGTATTGGCCAAAAATGAATAAAATATTGAATGCTAAAATATGCTAAGATATCTAAAAAGTATACAGAAAAGAAAAAAATAAAATATAAATTAAATGATAACGTTTAGGAAATTTTAATACGATACATTTGAATTGCCCGAACAAAAATTTTTTTGCACAAATATTCAAAAAAAATATCTAAAATTCTTTTCAGTTTTTTTAAAAATAAAAAAAAAAAAATAGCATTTTGAAAAAAATTAGCACGAAAAACCGATTTAAATTGATTTCGAAAAAAGTAGAATATATTAGCAAAGTTTATCAATTATTTTTTTCAAATTTTTGAAGACGGTAAAAATTTTTCCAAATTTTTTTTTTTAAATTTTTGAAAACGGCAAAAATTTTTTGATTTTGGGCAAAAAAATGTAAAAGTAAAGGGAATCCAAGTTTACATTTTTTTTTGTTTCACAAAAATATTCAAAAAAAAATCTGAAAATATTTTTAGTTTTTAAAAATAAGAAATTAGCACGAAAAAGTTGAAAATATTAGCAAAGTTTATTGATTAATTTCTGAGATATCTCAATTTCTTCAAATTTTTGAAAACGGTAAAAATTTTTTTTCATGAAAATTTAAAGAGAAGAATGTTTGCTATTGCATTAATATTATTTTGATCTCGAAAAAACCGTCGCATATTGGTAACGGTGACAAGTAGTTGTGATATGCGAACAAGAAGATTTGGCCAGTAACGCAGATCGATTGAATCGTCGTCGTTCATTTCACTAATGCTTTGCAAACATTTCCATGTGTATTTTGTCAATTTTTTCCTCCTAAAATTACTTATTTTAATTATTTATAATTTAAAATTGAAAATTTAGTTCGTCAAATCTCAAATGTTCTAACAAATTTTTCACTGTATTCTTTTATAAAAGTATCAAAAAAGAAAAACTAAAAGAAAAGTATTGCTTCCACTAATTAGTAAGAGAGAAGAAGAAATGAATTTATATTCATAATTTAATTACAATTCGTATCATTTTACTCCAACACACAAAGATTGATTAAAAACAAAATTTTAATAATTTATAACAATTGAAGTGTTAATTTTATTTGCTGATAGTTTTAACATGATAATGATAGTGATGGGATGATAACAGTGACTATGATTGTTATCATGATAAAAAAGTAGTTAAATTAACTTACGCATTCTTTTACATTTTTCGGATTTTAAATAAGCAAGCTGACAATAAGGCTAATGGTCGATTATCCAATTGCATGCAATGAAAACTTGCAGCCAAATTTATTAAATTTTCAAAAAATTTCGTCGTATAATCCAATTCGGAATAATCGCCTTTAGCTGCTATATAAGTTGTATTGTTGGCTAACATTAGGCAATGTTCTGTAGGAATGAATTCATAGATAATATGCAAAACTTTTACTACCAGCCAACTTTTTTCAATTATTTCCTCTTGTGCCGAATGATTCAACTAAAAATGCAAATCTATAAGCAATCATTGCTAATTAGCAGATTGATTCTTGAATTAATCAATTTACTGCTTAATACTAAATTTAGAGGAAAAAGAAAGAGTTAAGATTTTTTATATATTAAAATAAGTTAATAATTCAATTAACAAACACTATCGTAGATTTCGATTGTCTCAACAAATTGTCGTATTTGTTGAGTAACTAATTCGGTCAATTCTAACAATCGTTCCGATCCTACGTCCGATTTGAATTCATGCTAAAAAAAAATATCAGTCAAATTGTAAAAAATCTGATGCATCATATCGGACTTTCTTTCTAAATCGAAAGAGTTACAATAATTGTTAAATTTTAGATAAGATGATAAGAAAAGATGATAAACTGGAAATTTTGATAACAAGTAACATTAGTAATTACTTGCTTTATTAAAAAAATAATTGATTCTAATGACAAGTATACACTGTTATATTATGCTAATTGAAGCAATTAAAATAGTAATTAAATGATATAAAGATTAAATCAAAAAGAAATACAACCATTTTTCCAGTATTTCAAAACCAATAAAATTAGTAAATCGTATAAATTCGTTAAAAAAGCGAACAAATGTATTTCACTATTAATTATATATAAAGGTTAACATAAAACTGCCACGTAAGAAATATCTAATTCTGATATTTTAGATATGTTATAAAATTTAAAAGAAATTAAATTTTTAAAACTTCACTACAAATAAATTTTTCTTTTTATTTTTAATTAAAAATATTTTAATTCAACTTCAAGGACTAACTCTTTCAATATTCATTGAAGGATCAAATTTTAAAGCAACAACCATTTGAAATTACTAAGATAAAATTGAACTTTAACCTTTACCTCATATGAGCTATCTAGAATTTTGTAGTGATTTGCAGTCACTTGATTAATTCGTGTTTGAAACTCGTCCTGTTTATCAGCTAATGAATTAGTTTCTAACACTGCTCCTAGTTGTTCTATTTTCCGTCGTTCACGGTTATCACTTATCATTTTCTGTTTCATTTAATACTACTGAAAAAAAAAAAAGAGTTCTGTTCGTCGAAAATTTCAATAATTTGACATACTAAATAATAAGAATGAAAAATTCTTTCAATTATAAAATACCTAAAAGATTCAAGTAAATAATATATCGAAATATTTTTAGATTTTGAAATCTAAAATCAGTCAAAAGAAATATTGTGAAAGCGATAAAATTAGTTTTAAAATGAATGATGCAAAAAATAGCAATGATATCATTTCAGCATAATTTAAACGAATTTAATTTAGTTTATTTAATTTAAAATCAATTCAATGCAATTCAAAAGTTTGAAAAAAAGTTTTCATTTTTTTAAATTTCACTTAATTCAATCAATACGGACAAGATTTCATCATTCCATTGTCCATGCATTTTTGAAATCGACAAAATTGATAAATATTTCTTGAAGACTTGCTGATTTCACATTGTTCAATGCCATTACATTTGTATACAATATTTTGCTGCAAAAATGTGACATTATTACGTCTTATTACGCTTAAATACACGTAAATTAGTTGATGCGTCAAAATTTCACTCTTAAAAATTATCTGAAATTTAGAAAAAAATTTGTAACACAAATGTAAAAGTAACAGGTTAGTATTTATTCTTGAATTTTTTTTTTTTTATTATTTTTGACTTTCTTTTTAATTTCGTTTTCTTCTATATTTTTAAATGAGAGATAATTTAATAATTTATTTGATGAGACGTAAAATATTTCACTATCAGTTATTCAGGATTATTGCACTAGAAATATTGCAATAACTAAGGAAAAACTTGGAGATAATGCTAAACTTTTGATGAAATAATCATAAAATAATCATTAATTAATTAATGATACTAAAAAATTATAATTGTGCAACAAATTATTTACCGAACAATATATTCAAAATGAAATATGTTCAACTATTTATCATTTATTTTCTCAAATTATTTGTTCAGTGCTGCATAATTGATATAATTTTTGAACAATTCAGTACCTATACATTTAGAAAAATTCTTGCAAAAAACATTTTATTACTTACCTGAAGAGTTCGTCGGAAGAAACCTTTGCAACCTTCGCATGTTATCGTCCTTAAATAGGATTAATTCAGTTTTGTTTTTATTAGTATTTTTTAGCTTATTAAAATTTCTAAAATTTTCTTATTTTTTTCGTGCTATTTTTAAAATTAAAATAGCATGCAAAAACTTTTGAATAATTTTATAATTTATTTATCTAAATGATTAATCAGTGATAAAAATGATACCTGTAGTGCAAACCGATAGCATCATCATCACACACGACATAAGGTTGACCTGGTTTCATATAACGTGGCAGATATGGTATCACTAATATTAATATCACATTTTATTTATCATTTACTGCTTTCAACTTTGTATTAAAGTATTTTAATACACTTCAATTTAAAGTTGCTACTTTGATTACTTTTGATAGCATAAATAGTATTTGAAGTTATTTTCTCAGAAGCATATAGTGCTATAAAATTTAGTGAATCAACAAATTATTTAATTTTAAATTTTTGAATTTTTATACCTTTCACTACTTCCTTCTGATTTTGTTATCGAATAGTTTTTCTATCAAATCAAATAAAAGCAAAAATTTTGTTGGTCCATCTTTCAATTCTCAATTAATTAAATGAAAATCAATTGATTTTCAGAATTTTTTTTAAATATTATAAATTTAGATAAAACAATAAACTAAGGAAAAAAAATATTTAAAAAACAAAATGAAATGATAAACAAATTTACCACACATTTTTGCTTTATTAACTTTCAAAAAGCGATAGTATACGGTATCACTTTTTGGAATATAAATGCTGAAAAGATTTATAGAAAGCTTAGCGCAACCAATGATTTTCCCTTTCTAATGACCTGAACCCATGTGCAAATGACGCAATCCTTTGACCTTAACCTTTATCCAACTACTAATTCATCTTCTTAGTACGTTTGATTTTATATGTAAGAAGAAATATGCTAAAAGGAAATAATTTTTTAAAAAATGATAAAATTATTAGCTATCATTAAAATTATTTTACCAATGGAATAATCATTTTTGATTACTCATAAAAAAGACACACACACAAAGAAAAAAAAAAAAAAAGAAAAAACAAATGTAAATAATTCACTTATTCCTTTCTTTTTCATTTCTAAATGAAAATGCAACTATGATAACAATATGCAATTAATAAAATTTTGCAACAATTAAACATTATAAAATATTTCTTATTGGAAAACAGCAAATGTGCAATTTTAACCTCAAAATTTAGCAATATCAAATTTCTTAAACCATTCCTTAAATTTAAATCAAAGCTTATTTACTCTATTTTAAATAGAAAGACGCATGCGAATTTCATATATATCTGTGAGATGAAGCATTCAGGTAATGGAACTAAAATATTTGAATAAATTAACTCAAAGTTAAATAAACCAAGGTCGAATATTTGATTGCTACTGTTATGAAATTTTGAATCTGATAAGACAATGAAAACAAGCATTGTTTATTATTGTAAAGCAATGAAAATGAATGAGCACTACAAGCAAGCATTTCTCATTTTTATAAAACATTGAGTTATTGCAGAACGTCAAAACCTAACATTCATAGTAGTTTTAATTTTAAATTATTGTAAAATAATAAAAAACAAAACAAATCTGTGAAATTATTCCTTAACGATATCGCTTGGAAAATAAAACTCAAAATAGGACAGTTCGTAAATTTAGCATTTTCGTTTCCCAATTAAATCGCTTATCATTACTGAATACGCAAATTAAGAAAAAGTCAACTATGCAATTCGAAAAGAAAGTCAAATTGTCAGAAAACGTGAAATTATTTCGGGTATTTCAAAATAGAAGTCCAAATTTCTAATTTAAATTTGTTATTATTAATGTAACAACTGATTCAACAATGTAACTTATTGCAAATTTTTAAAGCTTTCAACTATTTTCACTCCTGACATACAAAAATTGAAATTGGCGATAAAAAAGATAAGTGAAATAAGTATAAATAAAATATTTACCTGAAATGTGCTGAGAGTAAAATACAATCTATAAGTTTTGCAAATGTTTAAAAATGTCCAATGATTCCGGAATTAGATTTTACCGTATATTAAGTTTATTTGATTATGGTTGATTAAAACTAAAGGCAAAAAATGGCAAATAAAAAACTGATGTTATCACTGCCGTTATTAATGTTTTAAAGTAATTAATAACAAATTGAGAAAAAAAAAATCGAAAATTATTTACAATAAATGATGAAAATA